AATATAGAACTCAATGTTTCATTGTATCTTTGTTGTTTTGGGGGTTTTTTAGTAGAGGGTTTTACGGCGCTCGCAACTGTATAAGGTCATATGAGCGCCAAGGGGTGGGTGTCAACAGAGAAGACTTTACAGGGAATCAGACTTAGACTGCTCACCTCTCTAACTTCAACAGCACAAGGTCTGCTTAAACTACCAAGGCACCCCAAAATAGCAGGTCACAAGAGAGTGACAAACGTACAAAAGAAGTAGAGGAAAATGACAATAGTAAGGATCAGGAAAGAAAAAGCAGCAGTTCCCTGTTGAAGATCAGGCCCAGTTATGAGCGTGACATGAGACAGCCCATTTACAATTCTACTATGCTTGAACGAGAAATGTCCCCCCTTTGGGAATGGCCTAAAGACACTTCAGTCAGTGGCACTGCCCCGGGGGGGGGGGGTTCATTGTATAAATCGTATAAATATACAAGGGGTATACCAAAAGGTTTTTACCTGATAATATAGGAATAAGGGTAGAAAGTTGAAATTCGGTGCTAACCTAAATATTTCTCTGTGTAGTCGTCTCCCATAGTTATACATTTCTGCCATGTATGTACGACCTTGAAAAGACCTTGAAAAAAAAAGAACCTCTCTTCGTTAGAAAACCAGCCCTCTACTGCTTCTTTGACCTCACAATCACTTTCAAAACGCCTCCCTTTTAGATCCTTTTTTCCGTTTGAGGAATAAAAGAAGTCGTGTGAGGCTAAATCTGGAGAATAGGGTGGATGTGGCAAAATTCCATAACCTATTTCTCGCCCAGTTTCTGCCGCTTTCCTTGAATTGTGTACTGGCGCGTTGTCGTGAAGAAACAAAATGCCTTTTCGGATCTTTCCTCTGCGTTTTTCTTTTTAAGACTCTCGTAATTTTTTTTAGCTGGTCATAATAATGGTCTCCGGTGTTCTTCTGTTTCATCTTAGGGGTAGCTGACTGTTGGTTCTTCAGATTGAGATGCAACTTATTCTTACGTATATGACCGTTTTTCTCCTTTGCAGGGCCCCTTGCCTACAGGTGGTCACATTCCGACTTCGAAGGTACTCTACATTTTTATATTGACTTCAGTTTTGGTAGGAATTTATTTTGAATTTTGCCCAGCTGGAGGCCAAAGCCTACTCTTATCGATTTTGGAACCACAAACGGATATTTAGCGTGAGTAAATTGCACCGTGACCTTCGAGATTTTTCGCCCCTATCCGAGGGTGCCAGGTGTTCGATAATACTTACGCTGAAACCAGGGGTGCGACGGACACACAGCAGTAAAAAGCACCGGGAGTAGCACCAAAATGATTCAGCAGTGACAGAGAGAGAGAGAGAGAGAGAGAGAGAGAGAGAGAGAGAGAGAGAGAGAGAGAGAGAGAGTGAGTGAGAGAGAGAGAGAGATTGAGAGTGAGTGAGAGAGAGAGAGAGAGATTGAGAAAGAGAGACAGAGGGAGAAGCGCAGAGGAGGCCGGAGGGGGTAGGGGTTGGGGGGGGTGTAAAAAGTAGTGATGAAAGCAGGTGGTAGAGCAGGACTATAGAACAGGAAACGTGACATGGCAGACGTCACCAGCAGGATTCTATCCAAGAACCTTTTCACTGAGAGGCGAAAACTGGACCTCTGACCCACGAGAACTTCCCTACACGTGTGTAAAGATCAGAGTCCTTGATGTCATGCTTACGCTTTTCATCAGTGAATGCAAAAGAAGTGCGTCCCATTCCCGGGAGAGAAAGTCCATTTTCTACAATTTTTTGGGTCTTTATATTGGGATGGTGTACATCCTTGGCCCGGGACTGCCGGGACAGGCAGGGACAAAGCAGCCCGATTTCTAAATGGTCAAAGTTGCCTCACGGTGGCATAAAGCATTTGTTCTCAGTAATGCATACAGAGAAAAGTGTATCATGGTGTTGTTTTAGTTGTAGTAAAAGTTTTACGGCCCTTGCACGAGAATAAGGTAAGGTCATATAAGTGCCGAAGATTAAAGGCATTGCAAGACAGTAACAAGCAACAACAAAAAAAGAAATAGGAGAATAATAAAGGGCGATAGATGATTGATTGGAAAGTAGAAGCAAACCACACCAGAGCACACGCCAACCACCCACATATCATGACGTTTTATTTTTGGCTACTAGTCATTTTTGGAAAAAGATATTTCATTCCTTTTTTCATAGTGTCCAAGAACCAAAGCACAGAATGTATTGCATATTATTGTCTTCTCGAAAACGTTCACAACCTTGAAACAGTATAAACCAAGTTGATAAAGAGTTTTTATAACAGAGTGGCATCGGGTGTGTCATTTGAGAACTTTTTACGAAATACCTCGTCGTGTCTATCGTATTGTGTTTATACTAACCTTGAGATTAAGAGATGCAGGTTCGAAGTTGATTGGTCTTTACTTTAAATTTGGGAGAGGTGTTATCTTTTCAATCAGAAAAACTTGAATTTTTTGTTCATTAAAATGAAAGTAAATAAGGGAGTACCTTTCCACTTACCGATAAATCGTAGTACACTTGAGATCCGTTGGTGCGTGTCGTTGTCCCCTTATTGCTGCCGTTCACAGTTGCTTTCTGGTTGGCTGGTGACGACAGTCCACCGCTGCCTCCGTTACTGATGCCACCATTGAGACTTTGGCGTTTTTGTTGCTGCTGTTGTTGGTCCTGTTCTTGTTGATCGGGATGCTGTCCCGAGGAAGAGTTCTGGTTGAAGGGGGTCTGTTTGGTGATTCCCCCTGCGTCGCTTATAATGCTGTTGTTACTGGCGGTGTTGCTGCTGCTACAGCTGTTGTTGTTGCTGTGAGTACTGCTGCTGCAACTCGTTTCGTCCCCATTTCTATGGTCCATGGCTCTGTAAGCACGCTGTGCATGGGTAGTGGAAGGTTTCGAGCTTAGATCACTCTCTGGACCGACGTCATAACGCTGACTCTCCGCCATGGCTGCGACGTCACCACGCACCTTGGTAACTTCTTTTGACGTAATTGATCACGGCGCACCCTGAACAGCAGTCCTTGCCATCATTCTGAAATAGAAACCCAAAAAAATGTTTGAACTTTGAGCGAGCTCATATTGACAGCTTCGACTAAAAATGTAACTGATCGGAAAGATTTTTTTTAAAAGACGAAAAAGGGTAGATCTTTAACAGAATATAGACCGTCTTTCAGCAAAAAAGTCAGCGAAACAATTACATAAAGGCTCTGGTTGAGCACACCGAGTATCCGACATTTGAATGCATGGCGTGCACGAGAAAATAACTCCCATGCTCACGTGGTCATTACGCAATGACTGTTCGTAGGAAGCGCTGTTCGGGATCTTTATTGATTGGCAAGACGAAGTATTTAGTATCCCTTTTCTTGTGTCACAACTTTGTAGAGTACGCGCCTATTCCACACTCTACGTGCACTGGTCTCCTCAAACTTCAATTCTCAACCGAAATATAGTAGTAGTAGTGGTAGTAGTAGTAGTAGTAGTAGTAGTAGTAGTAGTAGTAGTAGTAGTAGTAGT